GAATTAAAAATTTTATTTTGAAAAAATAATTTATTAATATTTATTTGATGTACCAATCTTTTTGTACCGGACCATATATATTTTTGTTTTTATATTAAAATAAAATTTATAATTTAATATATATTTTTTAGATTTTTTAAAAGAGTTATTTTAATTATAAAGTTATTATAAAATTTTTTTAATTAGAAAAAATTTAAAAAATCTAAAAAAAATATATATTAAGATATAAAAATTTATTAATAAAACTATTATATTAAATTTAATAAAAATAAAAAGTTATATAAATAAATATAATTAAATCTTTTTATAATTATATTTCTTTATAATTATTTTTTATTTATCTTCTTAATTATTAATTAATTATAATTAAAAAAATTTTTTATAATCACATCTTTTTTTAATTATTTAATTTTATTTTCTCAAGTATAATAATTATAGATATTTAAATATAATTAATAATTTTATAATATAATATTAATAAAAAATAAATAAGAAAATAGAAAAAAATAAAAAAATATTAAAAATTAAAAGAATAATAAAAATAAAATATAATAAAGTAATATAATTAATATTATAAAATAAAAATTAAAATAAATTATTAAAAAAATTAAAATTCTTTTTAATTAGCTATTATATTTAATAATTTATATTAAATATAATTAATTAATTATAAAATTTAATATAAAAATATTAATAAATTTATTTTATATTATAAAATTTATTTTAGAATTACAAAATATATTTTAAAAATCACAAATTTTTTTAATTAATTCTTTATTTTTGAATTTTATTAATTTTTTTAAATTTTATATAATAAATTTATTCTGTTTATATAATAATATTATAACTTAATTACTATTAATAAGAGATTTAAAATATATAATTTTATAATTAATTAATAATTTACTTATATATAAAAAATATAATAATTATAAAATTGAAATTTATATATTAATTTATTATTTTATATTTTATAAATATTAATAGAATCAGATTAATATTTATAGATAAAAGATTTATTCTATATTTTATATCTTTAATTTTAATATATTATAATCAAAAACTAAAAAAATATAAAATTAAGAATATATAAAATAAAAAATATATAAATAATAAAAAGTTAAAAAATTAATTTCAATTATATAATAATTTTTTTCTGAATTAATTAAAATTTAAACTTAAATAATTATTTTTTATATAAATATTATTATAATTAATTTATTATTAATTATTTATAATAAAATTTCTTAAATCTTAATAAATCTTATTTTTTATGAAATAATTAAAATAATCTTGATATAGTACTACTAATAATAATTTGAATTTAATATTTAACTTAAAAACTAGCTATAAAATTGATATTTAAGTTAAAATAAAAAATTCTTTAGTTAAAATTTGAATAGGTAAATTTATTAAATAAATATATTAAATATATCTAAAATATTATAATAATTTATTATTTTATTATAGATCTTCAGATAACTATCAAATTTTATAATAAAATCAAAAATAATTAATTATTATTAAAAAATATTGCTTGTTATATTATCTAATTAAAATAACAGATCAAGAATAATTATGATATTTGCATCTAGAAATTAGATAATTTATGGAATTATACTCTATTCTTTCTTGATCTGATCATTATTATTAACATTAAGATCTTGATATAATTCTTGAAGAAATTAATAAAGTTTTAATTTCACTTATTTCTACTCAATAATATTGAAAGATAACAGTATGAAACTGTACAAAATTTATAAAGATTAATTTAATATTTTAAATAAATAAATATTTAAAAATTAATCTATTTTTTTTTAATTAGTTGCATTTTATATTATTTAATATGATTAGACATACTGATTAAGTAATAATACACATCCAGACTTTACTTTATAATCATTATGATTTTGAGTTCAATTATGAAAAACTGAATTTTGAATCCTTATAATAATAATATATATTTAAAAATCTTGATGACAAGTATTTGCTTAGTGAACAATTAATCATTTAGCACGTGAAAGATAAATAACTGAGCAAGAAGCTATTACAGCTTTAAATGAAGAGAAAATATCTAAAAGTGAGCTCATAGTTATTATCAATTCATTATTGAATTCATTGAGAAATTCTAACAGACTAAAATATCATAAATTGCAACGTAAAACTCGTAAATAGATTACAGAGATTTAAAAGATAGCCAATCAAAATTTTTATTTTTTAACCAATCAAAAATTTTAAATTTTTTAACCAATTAAAATTTTAGATCTCTACAACGACGTAATACAAGATAGCCAATCAAAATTTTTATTTTTTAACCAATCAAAAATTTTTAAATTTTTTAACCAATTAAAATTTTAGATCTCTAGAACGTAATACAAAATCCAGAATTGTTGTAAATTGTTGATCACTACTATAAAAAGCAATTTCATATATGGACTGAATTATAAAATCACATGAAATAAAGCACAAATGTCACGTGAGAATACATTAGATTCGTGCATTTCAATTAGGGGAGAATTTGATTAAAATTCTGGCAATGCATGGTCGTAAACGTGTAAAGCCTAGCGCTGAGGTAGAACGTCAACGAAAAGAGAAAGAAGCAGCAAAAATTAAAGAATATAGTGACCTAGTGGATGCTTGTTTGAATAAGGTACTTGTCTTTAAAAAATCAAAAATCAGAATCGTTATCATGAAAGAATCGCGTTTTATTTCACATTGTATTAATAAAAGCCAAAATTACTAGATATTGATCAATTATTTTTATCTTATAATTACACCAATTTTTTAAATTAGAAAGATAGCAAGAAATTCGATACCGAAGCATTCAACTATACCACAAAGATATTGTCACAAAATCCAGACTTTTACACGATCTGGAATTTCCGACGAAATATTTTGATATATGGTCTTTTGAAGGATGCGTGAGTATTTTTAACGAACATCACCATGATCTACAAATAATAAAATGAAGTGTTATTAATTAATTACTACTAGCGACACGGACCAAAAACAAGAAGCGTTTTCCAATGAGCTAGTATTTTTACAAGCACTTTTTCAATTGAACCCTAAATCATATTGGATATTTAATCATCGGAGATGGTCACTAGACAATATGCCGTATCCTGATTGGCAAAGAGAGCTAGAACTTGTTGGGAAGATATTGGAATTGGATTCAAGAAATTGTGTGTATCTTTTTTATGAATTAACATAAAGGTTTTTTCATCTTTATTTATTCTTCTTATTTTCAAAGTTCATGGATGGGATTATCGTCGTTATGTCACCTCCAAACTTTCCACAAAAATGGCAAACACTGACGACGAAAATAACAACTACTCTGCAGAGTCTCTCACGGAATCCGAATTCAAGTTTACCACCACGAAAATCAATCAAAATTTTTCGAACTATTCTGCTTGGCATCAACGTAGCAAATTATTGCCAAGTTTGTTTCAAGAGAAAAATATGACAGATGCTGAGAAAAAGTCAGTTATTGATGAAGGTATTTATACATTACTCGCAAATAAGAATAATTATATTTAGGTGAATGAAAAACAAATGATTTTATTGATAATAGAATTTGATCTTGTCAAATCGGCAATTTATACGGATCCTGATGACCAAAGTGCCTGGTTATATCATTTGTGGCTAGTCGGAAGAGGTTTACTCTCGTATTTAGTTTTCTTATTTTACTTGAATAATTTTCTCGTATCATAAACAAAAAAAACTCTTGAAATAGAGATTCGTCATATTTCTGTTCTCGGCGCATATTTTGATCCAAGAGGGAGAGAAATCGTGCTCAGTTTCGACGATGAAATTGGAATGCTTTCTCCGTTTTTAGTTAGTCAAGGAAACGACACCACTGATAATAATCGCAAAGTTCAAGGAAATTGGCGTCCAGCTGGTGGGATTTTCAAACATGATCAATTGAATTCTGATCGCCTATATGGATTCGTATGGATTTTTACATTGACAGAGGATATATCAACGTCTTCGACATTGACCGTTACAATCGAGCCTTCTTCGATTGTTCCATCACATTCTGAAGCACGTCTTATGCAAACCATTGAAAAATCTGTAATTAATATTTTAAATACCGATAATATAGGTGAGTTCCTTTCTGAACACATGCTTTACAATTAATATTTTAATTTATAACGAAAAATGCTTTTGTTTTTATCAACAGCTATGTCAACACAGTCAAAAAGTGTAGACGTTGAACCATCAATTGTTCCAGCACCAGAGACTTTGCCAGCTATCGCACAGGAACGAGCCGATCTCTTGAAACGTGAAATCAATGTGATAAAGGAATTACTTGACTTGGAGCCCGATAGTGAATGTGAATATTGTCAATTTTAGATTTGAATATTTTATATTTTATATTTTATCAAAGGCTTAATTTTTTTTACGGGTTTTCATTCAAAGGGTGTTTACAGACTCTTATCAGCTTACTAAACGAGCTCAAATATGCTTCCTTGCTAGAATCTAATGAGGCTAATTTGTTAAATGATGAAATAGTGAGCTATTGTGACCGCTTAATAAAAATCGATAGTTTACGGATTATAAGATTTGAGGATTTACGTGAGTTATTATTATAATTATTAATTATTTTATGACTTTTTTTCGTTTTAAGAGGCTCATTAGAATAATATAATTAACAGGATCAAAAGCTATATTCGAAAAGGAAACAGCATCTCTTGTTCAAGGTTCACTAGAAGATCCTAAAACAATAATTTACAATCAGACGACACTTGCAAACTTTTCTTCGCAATCATCATCACTTGCTTCATTATCACTCTCCTCCAAAAATCTCACCTTTATACCAACCCCTTCAATTCTTCTGCTATTATCCAAACTAGACTTATCACACAACAAATTAACGTCAATGTCTTTTCTCGCTAATCTCATCAATCTTCGCGAAGTTAATCTTGAAAGTAATTTGATATTACGAATTGACGGAGTACGAGAATTGAGAGTTTTGAAAGAGATGAATTTGAAAAATAATTTAATATCTACTTTTGAGGCAGTTCGTGATGGGTTGTTAATGAATGATTCGTCATCACGTGATTTCCAAGAAAAATTGAAAATTCATTTGACTGGAAATCCTCTTATTGCCGACAATATCAGCACTGAATTCCATGTTTTTAATGATACGTATGACATTATATTGGGATGATATTCATGCGCAGTAGGTGCAAATGTTCAATTGTGAGCATCAAAAAATTTTTATATTTATTGTAAATTTTCTTCAATTTATTCAACTTTTTTATTTCAGAAAACTTAATAAATACATAGTGAAGATTCGTATCTCACTAACACCTTTGTGATCAAAATTAATAATATTGCAAAAATCAAGTGCATGAATTGGTAGTGGTGGTGGTGGTGGTGTGTTTATAATGTTAGTTACCTTGGACACGAAATTTGTCCCATCAATGCAATAAGAGAGAATTTTAACACGTGACATATGATATTTAGCCAAAGTCGCATGATATTAATTTTCAATTTCTTTTTCCTTACTATCCTTACTGGCATTCTCATCCTTTTTCTCACCACCGCCCTCTGTTATTTGTTGTTCTCCTTTCAAATTCTCAATCTTGTTATTAATCAAATTATGCAAAGCAATAACAGCACGAATCAGTGACGACAAATAGATCACCAGCAGTTGATCATTTGTCTTTATGGAGAACGAGCGGACCGTTTCTCCACCATAGAGATTCGGCAATAAATTTAAGATGTCTTGGAGATTATAGATTATTTGATGGTTAACGGGTAGAGTTTGGTCTACCACTTTTTGGAGGTATTCACGAATTTCCTCAAGACGTGATTGTAGGCCTTTCAGTGAGTTCAGTTGGTCGTTAATGCGTGTGGATAATGTGCCGACTGCGTTGTCTTTGATGTCGCGTAAGAGATGTTCAACACCTATTTCTTCGGCTTCTTCGGCCTCGATTTGTGAGGGGACGTGCATAAATGTTTTTGTCGTTGCTGTACCATCCTAGGAGATTATGCATCCCAAAATATAAATTATTTTTTTCATTCAATGTTTATATAGTACAAAAAAGTTATCACTTACATCTTTAATCTCCTCAATGGCAAAATATGCATCCGTGGGTATGCCAATATCTTTTGGCTTTACGTCGACAATAACCAATACTGGGTTAGGAGTATATCTTTTAAACAGCTCATTAATTTCAAGATCAGAAGCTCGAAGTTTAGGTCCACTATGATACCATCCAATCATTTTCTCTCGAGCTATATTATCACACGAGTACAAAGTCAATTAGAAGGTTATATTGAATTTTACGTAGGCATTCAATTAATATACATGCCATTGACTTTTTTAAACATATCATTCATCGCCTCGACATAATTATGGTCTAAAAACCAAACGGACAGGTCTTTTTCATCTTCTTCGAAAGGAACTATTATATTCATTTAGATATTTCATTAAAGGGATATTATCATGAAACTAGAGATTTATTAATAGATATTTTTAATTTCTCGATTTTCATACTTGAAATCGTAATGCATACCTGCGAAACTGTTTGCAACATTTACATGTTTGCCATTATTCTGACCCAAAAGCACGCCAACTACCCGTTTTTTGGTACTCTTTGCTACCCTATTGTAATGATCAACAACAGACAATAACACCAAAGGGTGTACTATGACAGTAGTATTCTGTGATATAGGTGTAGCAGTAGGCATTATTATTCACATTCAATTCTGCTTCGAAAATTCTTAAAAGGAAAAAAAAAAGTCAGGACCCCGAACAACCAAAGAATGATCATTTTTTTGAACCTACATTACGTAAGCAATTATGAGCTCACACGAAATGGGAAATCATATAAATATGATCTCAACCCCGCATTTTGGTAAACAAAAAAAAATTAGAGTGCAGTCTTTTTCCTTAGATCTCAGGTTCGCGCACGTTCTCTTTTGTTCATCTTTAATATATCTTGTAAAGGAAACGAAGACCTTTGTTGTACGGAGGAGAAATAACAAAAATGATGTCTGAATACGGTGATACAATAATATATCCAAGTGGCTTTTCTCCCGCTAGTTATGGAGATCAGCAACAGCAACAACCATTTGCTTACCAATACTATCAATTTAACAACTTACCACCACAGCAACAGCAATACAATGCTGCACCAAATCAGTTCAATATGGTGCCGCCACCGCCAGTGCCAAATAATAACGAACAAACTGCTGAAAAAATAGAAGATAAAGCACGCAAGTGGCAGCAAATGCAAACAAAACGATATGGTGAAAGAAGAAAATTTGGTTATATAGAACATGAGAAGGCTAATATGCCGCCAGAGCATATTCGTAAAATTATTAAGGATCATGGAGACATGTCGAGTAAGAAATATCGACACGATAAACGAATTTATTTGGGTGCTTTGAAGTATGTGCCGCATGCTGTGCTAAAATTGCTGGAAAATATGCCAATGCCTTGGGAACAGGTAAATGTCAAATCTGTTTTTTTGATGTTCGCGTAACATCCTTGACCTATGACGTTACACGAACTTGTTTTTTTGAATTCTAATAATTCATAATCATCAATAATATTTTTTTTAGGTTCGTGAAGTTCCAGTTTTATATCATATTACGGGGGCGATAACATTCGTCAATGAAATTCCATGGGTCATAGAACCAGTCTACATAGCACAATGGGGAACAATGTGGATTATGATGCGTCGCGAGAAACGTGACAGACGTCACTTTAAGCGTATGCGATTTCCGCCTTTCGACGACGAAGAACCTGCGCTAGACTACGGTGACAATATTCTAGATGTTGAGCCATTAGAAGCGATTCAAATGGAACTAGAAGAAGACGAGGACAAACCGGTCTACGAATGGTTTTACGATCATAGACCGCTCACAGAAACAAAAAGTGTAAATGGACCTACTTATCGCCGTTGGAAACTGAATTTGCCTATAATGTCGACATTATATCGTCTGGCACATCAATTATTGTCAGATTTGACTGATCAAAATTATTTCTATCTGTTCGATATGAAATCTTTCTTCACTGCTAAAGCACTAAATATGGCCATTCCTGGCGGACCTAAGTTTGAACCGCTGTATCGAGATATGGATACCGCCGATGATGATTGGAACGAATTCAATGATATCAACAAAATTATTATTCGTCAGCCAATTCGTACAGAATATAAAATAGCATTTCCATTTCTGTACAATTCTCTTCCGCGCTCTGTACACGTGTCTTGGTATCATGAACCCACAGTGGTGTACATTCGCTCAGAAGATCCAGATCTACCTGCATTTTACTACGATCCAATTATCAATCCAATTTCTACACGAACTGTAGCCTCACAAAATGAAGCTGGATCACATGAAGACGAAATTTTCGGTGATGGTGATGTTGACGAAGAATTCTCTTTGCCTGAACATGTGAAGCCATTCCTAGAAGACATTCCAATATACACAGATACTACGGCTGATGGTATTGCTTTGTGGTGGGCACCACATCCATTCAACAAACGTAGTGGGCGCACTCGAAGAGCTGAAGACGTGCCTTTAGTCAAGAATTGGTATCTTGAACATTGTCCACCCGGACAACCTGTTAAAGTTAGAGTCTCTTATCAGAAGTTAATAAAATGTTTTGTACTTAACGCGTTGAAACATCGGCCACCAAAAGCACTCAACAAAAAATACTTGTTCCGTCAACTTAAATCGACAAAGTTTTTTCAAACTACTGAACTTGACTGGGTTGAAGCCGGTTTGCAAGTATGCCGCCAAGGATACAATATGTTGAATCTATTGATTCATCGAAAGAATTTGAATTATCTTCATTTGGATTTCAATTTTAACTTGAAACCAGTAAAGACCTTGACTACAAAAGAAAGAAAGAAATCGCGATTCGGTAATGCATTTCATTTATGTCGAGAAATCCTCCGCTTAATGAAATTAATAGTTGACAGTCATGTGCAATACCGTTTGGGTAATGTGGATGCTTTTCAATTGGCTGACGGGTTACAATATGTATTTGCTCACGTGGGACAACTTACCGGAATGTATCGATATAAATATCGTCTAATGAGACAAATTCGTCTTTGCAAGGATCTTAAGCATCTCATTTATTATCGATTTAATTCAGGCCCTGTTGGAAAAGGACCAGGATGTGGATTCTGGGCGCCAGGATGGCGAGTTTGGCTGTTCTTTATGCGTGGTATTGTTCCTCTTTTGGAACGATGGCTTGGGAATCTGTTGGCACGTCATTTCGAAGGTCGTCACTCAAAGGGGATCGCTAAAACGGTAACAAAGCAACGTGTTGAATCACATTATGATCTCGAGTTACGTGCTGCAGTTATGCATGATATTCTTGATATGATGCCCGAAGGTATCAAAGCTAATAAATCAAAGACAATCTTACAACATTTGAGTGAAGCCTGGAGATGTTGGAAAGCTAATGTCCCATGGCATATTATGGGAATGCCAAAACCCATTGAAAATATGATTTTGAGATATGTAAAGAGTAAAGCAGATTGGTGGACAAGTGTGGCACATTATAATCGTGAAAGAATTCGAAGAGGTGCAACCGTAGATAAGACAGTCTGTAAAAAGAATCTTGGTCGTTTGACTCGTCTTTGGCTAAAAGCTGAACAAGAACGTCAACATAATTACTTGAAGGATGGACCATATATTACTGCAGAAGAGGCTGTTGCCATTTATACTTCAACGGTGCATTGGCTGGAAAGTCGTAAATTTTCGCCGATTCCATTCCCTCCGCTATCCTATAAACATGATACGAAATTGCTGATTTTGGCATTAGAAAGACTAAAAGAAGCATACAGTGTTAAAGGCAGATTAAATCAGAGTCAACGTGAAGAATTGGGTTTAATTGAACAAGCATATGATAATCCGCACGAGGCATTAAGCAGAATCAAACGTCTGTTGCTTACCCAACGTGCATTCAAAGAAGTCGGAATCGAATTTATGGATCTCTACAGCCATCTAATTCCAGTATTTGACGTTGAACCCCTTGAAAAGATTACCGATGCCTATCTCGATCAATATCTCTGGTATGAAGGAACCAAACGAAACCTTTTCCCGGCATGGATTAAGCCATCGGACACTGAACCACCGCCATTGCTTGTCTACAAATTCTGTCAAGGAATTAACAATTTGACGGATGTTTGGGAAACTTCAGAGGGAGAATGTAATGTCATGTTGGAAACTCAATTCAGCAAAGTATACGAAAAAATTGATTTGACTTTGTTGAATAGATTATTACGGTTGATTTTAGATCATAATCTTGCTGATTATATGACTGCTAAGAATAACGTAGTTTTGAACTATAAAGACATGAATCACGTCAACGCATATGGACTTATTAGGGGATTACAATTTGCCAGTTTCATATTCCAATACTACGGTTTAATTCTCGATTTGCTTGTGCTGGGCTTACAACGTGCTTCAGAAATGGCTGGGCCACCACAAGTGCCCAACGATTTCTTGCAGTTTCGCGACGTTGCAACTGAAACTCGTCACCCCATCCGTCTCTATTGTCGTTACATTGACAAAATACATATATTCTTCCGTTTCACTGCAGACGAAGCTCGTGATCTCATTCAACGTTACTTGACTGAACATCCTGATCCCAACTCGGAAAATATTGTCGGCTATAATAATAAGAAATGTTGGCCTAGAGATTGTAGAATGCGATTAATGAAAAGCGATGTGAATCTGGGTCGTGCGGTTTTCTGGGATATTAAAAATCGATTACCTCGTTCTCTAACGACCATCGATTGGGATGATAGTTTTGTTAGTGTTTACAGTAAAGATAATCCAAATCTTTTGTTCTCTATGTGCGGATTTGAAGTAAGAATTTTACCAAAGATTCGTAATTTAAATGAAGAGTTCACACTTAAAGACGGTGTATGGAATCTAATTAACGAACAAAGTAAAGAACGAACTGCACAAGCTTTCCTCCGTGTTGACGAAGAGTCGATGCAGAAATTCCATAATCGAGTTCGACAAATTTTAATGGCTAGTGGAAGCACAACATTTAGTAAAATCAGTAATAAATGGAATACTTGCCTTATCGGTTTGATGTCATACTTTAGAGAGGCTGTTGTACATACTCGAGAACTACTTGATATTATTGTAAAAGCAGAAAATAAGATTCAGACTAGAATTAAAATAGGTCTCAATTCTAAAATGCCTTCACGTTTCCCGCCGGTTGTATTTTATTGTCCTAAAGAACTTGGTGGTCTCGGAATGTTGTCTATGGGCCACGTGCTCATTCCACAATCTGACCTTCGTTGGTCTAAGCAGACAGAAACAGGAATAACTCATTTCCGGTCTGGTATGGGCCACGAAGAAGATCAATTGATTCCCAATTTATTCCGCTACTTACAGCCATGGGAATCAGAGTTTATTGATTCACAACGTGTCTGGGCTGAATATGCACTCAAAAGACAAGAAGCAAATGCTCAAAACAGACGATTGACGCTGGAAGATCTCGAAGATTCTTGGGACCGTGGTCTTCCACGTATTAATACACTATTCTCAAAAGATCGACATACACTTGCATACGACAAAGGTTGGCGCGTAAGAACAGATTTCAAACAATATCAAGTGCTAAAAAATAATCCTTTCTGGTGGACTCATTCTCGCCACGACGGTAAATTATGGTCATTGAATAATTATCGTACAGATATGATTCAGGCTCTTGGTGGTGTAGAGGGAATCTTGGAGCATTCACTCTTTAAAGGAACCTTCTTCGCTACATGGGAAGGATTGTTCTGGGAAAAGGCCAGTGGATTTGAAGAGAGTATGAAATACAAGAAATTGACCAATGCTCAACGTTCGGGTCTCAATCAAATTCCTAATCGTCGGTTCACACTTTGGTGGTCACCTACAATTAATCGCGCCAATGTCTACGTTGGTTTCCAAGTGCAACTCGATCTGACTGGTATCTTTATGCACGGCAAAATTCCAACTCTCAAAATCAGTTTAATTCAAATATTCAGAGCTCACTTGTGGCAGAAAATACACGAATCATGCGTTATGGATTTATGTCAAGTATTTGATTCCGAATTAGAAAGCTTACAAATAGAAACAGTACAAAAGGAAACTATCCATCCAAGAAAATCGTACAAGATGACATCATCTTGTGCTGATATTCTATTGTTTGCTGCCTACAAGTGGAATGTATCAAAACCATCTTTACTCAATGATAATAAAGATACCATGGACGGAACAACTACGGCACGATGGTTCGTGGATGTTCAATTAAGATGGGGTGATTTCGATTCACACGATATCGAGCGATACACAAGAGCTAAATTCTTGGATTACACCACTGATAACATGAGTATTTATCCATCACCATTTGGTGTGATGGTTGGTATTGATCTGGCATATAACTTGCATAGCGCCTATGGTCACTGGATACCCGGCATGAAACCATTAATGCAGTCTGCGATGGCAAAAATAATGAAAGCAAACCCTGCATTATACGTATTACGTGAGCGTATACGTAAAGGTTTGCAATTGTACTCTTCAGAACCTACCGAACCATATTTGTCATCACAGAATTATGCCGAACTGTTCTCCAATCAAATCATCTGGTTCGTTGATGACACTAACGTGTATCGAGTGACAATTCACAAGACATTCGAGGGCAATTTAACAACCAAACCAATTAACGGAGCTATTTTCATCTTCAATCCACGTACCGGTCAATTATTCTTAAAAATCATTCACACGTCAGTCTGGGCTGGTCAGAAACGTCTTGGCCAATTGGCTAAGTGGAAGACGGCTGAAGAAGTCGCTGCGTTGATTCGTTCGTTGCCGATTGAAGAACAACCCAAACAAATTATTGTGACAAGAAAAGGAATGTTGGATCCTTTGGAGGTTCATTTACTCGATTTTCCGAATATTGTTATCAAGGGCAGTGAACTACAATTGCCATTCCAAGCGTGTCTTAAACTTGAAAAATTTGGAGATTTGATTCTTAAAGCAACCGAACCTCAAATGACACTCTTCAATCTTTTCGACGACTGGCTTAAAACCATTTCATCATACACCGCCTTTTCACGTCTTATTCTCATACTACGAGCTCTGCACGTCAACACAGACAAAACAAAAATGATTCTGCGTCCAGACAAGAATACAATCACTGAACCGCATCACATTTGGCCCACATTAACCGACGAAGAATGGATAAAAGTAGAAAATGCACTAAGAGATTTGATTTTGGCTGATTACGGTAAAAAGAACAATGTAAATGTTGCTTCCCTAACTCAATCCGAAATACGTGATATTATTCTCGGTATGGAGATTTCGGCACCGTCGCTTCAACGTCAACAAATTGCCGAAATTGAAAAACAAACAAAAGAACAATCGCAATTGACTGCTGTCACAACAAAAACACAAAATATTCATGGTGATGAAATGATCGTCACTACCACAAGTAATTATGAGACTCAGACATTCTCATCGAAAACAGAATGGCGTATACGTGCTATATCATCTACAAATTTGCATCTACGTACAAATCACATATACGTCAATGCAGACGATATAAGAGATACCGGATATACTTATGTATTACCAAAGAACGTACTCAAACGATTCATTCAAATTGCTGACCTTCGTACGCAAATTGCTGCATATATGTATGGTGTTTCTCCAAAAGACAACGCACAAGTCAAAGAAATTAGATCATTGGTGATAGTCCCGCAATATGGTACTCACCAATCAGTACAATTACCGAATGCACTTCCAAATCACGAGTATCTACAAGACCTAGAACCACTCGGTCTACTTGTAACTCAACCATTTGAGACGGCACAACTATCTCCAACAATACTCTCACTTCACGCGAGAATCGTCGCCGAAAACAAGGCATATTGGGACGCTGACAAGACAATCTCAATGACTGTCAGTTTCACACCCGGCTCCTGCTCATTGACAGCCTACAAATTAACACCGTCCGGTTTCGAATGGGCACGAAGTAACAAAGATAATACGCCAAATCCACCAGGTTACCTTCCTACATTTGCCGAGAAAGTGCAAATGTTGTTGTCGGATCGGTTTATGGGTTATTTCATGGTTCCCGAGAATGATGTTTGGAATTACTCGTTTATGGGCCCATCACATAGCCCGACAATGACCTATAAATTGAAACTTGATGTACCTAAAGAATTTTATCACGAACTACATCGACCGCAACATTTCCTTAATTTCAGCGCAATGGAGGAAGAAGTCGAGGCAGATCGTGAAGATGTATTTGCTTAATTTTGGTTTTCTATATTTTATTAGATAATGGTATATAAAATCCTTATAAAAAAATCCAGATTTTATTATTTAGTGAATCTTCAAAATAAAATACAAATTAATAATAGACTTATAGTTCGTTGATATTTTTTGTGTATATTTAAAGTCGTATTTTATAATTCATGTATAGCGGAATTGAAAGAAATGATTTGAATTATAATTTATTACGTTTTTTCAAATTGTAAAAATCTTAGTTTGCCAAATTATAAACTTTGTTAAAATATTTTAAAAGTGATATTATAAAATCTCTTTTTATATAATATATCTATTTATATTCAAATGGAATTTAATGTAAATTTTTTGCATCTTTTAATAATAATATAATAATATTATTAACTTATATTCTTTAAGCTGCTAATAATCTTTTATTAATCCTTTAAATTATGAATTAAGATGATATAAATAATTATTATATTGTAATATTATATATAATTAATATTGTGTTATTGATAATTAATAAATAAGTTTTATATTATTAAAAAAATAATTTTGAATTTTTATTTTTTATTAATATGAATTATTTTTTTATTAATTCTAATTATTATTATAATTATATATTTTCTTTTAATAAATATTAATTATCTTTTTGTATTATATATAATTAATCATTTTATTTATTAATTATAAATAATTATATAATATTATATAAGTACTTACTTGTAAAATTATATTATTTTTATAAAAAATATAACGCATATAATCTGGTTATATTAATAGAATTTTAATTTTTTTATACTTTTATAAAATATATATTTTTTAAAAACTTTTTATAAATTAATAGAATAAATTATTAGCTTTTAATTTATAAAAACTAATTTAAATTTTCTTAATTTTTATATAATAATAATTATTTAAATTTTATTATTTTTTATATATTATTATTAATTTAAAACTTCTTTTTAAGTTATATAACTAAGTTAATTATTTTATAATAATTAATTAAAAATTTATATATAATAAATTTTATAAATTATATATATAGTGATAATTAAATACTTAAATTTTTTACTAATTATAATTAATAAAAAATTTAAAAATTATATTATTTTTTAATTATTACTATATATATAATATTTATTATGATTAAAATT